GAAGCATGGGGTGCCTCACTGGAGCTCTGAGAGGTGGCCAGAGAGAATAAAAATAGAACCCTTCTTAAATGATTAAAAGCCAGAGTCTTAAATGTAATTTAAACACAGTATTCAAATTGATTAGCTCCATAGTGCCCAGTGCTGGTATTCTGCAAAAGCATTAAAAATCACTCCTTTCCTAAATTAAAAATTTGCCTTCTTTGAAGTTACTAGTTACTACTTATAGTGATAAGGAAATGCGATGTAAAGTGATGTTTGATGATAATAAATACGATTATTGTTTGTTACTTTGTTACTGTGAGTTACAGAACAAAACCGTAGATCTCTTTGTACCTTCCAACGTTAGGATCTACAAAGAAACTAGATTTCCGTCAAGATTAGGATTCTGGTTATTGAGCAAAAATATTTTATTTGAAAATTCAACTGGTTCTGTCCTTCTCTGGGTTGGAAGGGGAGGGAGAATTACAACTGTGCTTCTAAGATCTCCTTCCAGAAGGAATTTTCTACCTCAAAAATCAAGGACTTCCCTGCAAACGGCAGACAGAGGACAGCACATTATCCTCAAGCTAGTGAACAGGAAGGATTTTTCTTCCTAAATGTCCCTTCTGCTCTCTAGTTTGAATTATCAATAAAACGACTTGGCTTATCTCTGAAAATAACCTTTTTGACAACCCAAATATGGACTTAAACACGCTACCTCCACATTTAAGATTTAAGAAGCCCCCAGTAAATGTCAGGAGGTGTCAATGTGTTTGCTGCGATACTTGGTTATTATTAGTGTTTAACTGCAGCGCCCAACCAGCACCAGGCCGCCAGCACCACCATAAATTTTAATGTGATCATGTGCTCGTCTCTTTTCATATCCAGTGAATTCTACAAGATCATAATATTCTGTATGAACCCTAGCTGAACCTTAGTGTGATAGGAAGAAAGAACAAGATTTCTAGCAATGATAGCTGTTCATCATTTTATAGTTTTTTGAAAAACTGGACACTGAGCAGCACGGGTCCCTGAATAATATGACCCTAAACTGAATCCACTCATTCAGTGAATCTTTATTGAGCCCTACAGGATACTGGGCATGGCCCAAAGTGCTAATGAGTACATTTATGGGATAGTGAAGAATACTGACTCTTAAGGAAACCTGTTTTTCCCCCTGGAAAATCTGTCAGAGCTCATACATCATTTATAAAACCAAAAAACTCCTCTGCAACCTTGGCATCACCACATGCCTTTTTATTTGACAGAATACAAACAAAAGCATGGTCGGTTCCTCTATCTGGTCTACATTGTGCATGTAAGAAATGTGCTTATCGTCTTTCACTATGTATGTGCTTGCTGGAATATTTATTCTACAAGCTTCTATAAACAGAATTTGTATAATTATTCTTGATCTATCTGCAGGTTTTTATTCCCTGTTATAACCACAAATAGTAACTGGCACTGCAGACTGCCATTTATCTGAGGAATTAAAAATATTTGGTAAATTTTAACTACCTAAATATCTCTTTAGAAGCAAAGAATAAGATTGAAGCTTTCACTTTAATATTTGGAATTTCAGGCCAGAGGCTTGTAACAATTTAATAAGTCATTAACAGGATTCCCAGTGAACTAAATTTCCACCGTTTATACATCAAATTGCCTATCCTACAATGCAGTTTGTTCTTTTTCTTTTTAATTTCTAAAGGAACAAAACCTCTTTGTTACCTAGACATGAGGTGGAATACTTTTTCAAAACATGATTCTGAATGAATGAATTCATTCATTCATGAATAACTTTATATTCTGTGTCTGAAATTATTTTAGGGTTAAAGGTTGGGAAGCCAGTTCTTATATGTATAATTTGCTCTGTTGTACATCGAGTCATAGTTTGCTCATCAATGACACACAAATGTGCATCTTCCCATTCCCAGAGACAATGGGCTTGGAAAAATACACACCCACAGATGTTAGACACATGGAGAGTGCCATACTATTCACACTAATAGCTCTGCGGGCAAGGAGGCAGCCCTAATACAGGTCCATCTTGATGGGAGGGGCTCTTTTCGGCACACTGGCTTTGTTGGTGTCTCTTTTAAGAAAAGAGTGTGGCGTGTGTGTCTCAGTATTTCTTGTCTTAGAAGAAAAGAAGCATTTTCAGGGAATGTTGGTAAGGTTTCCGCCTCCCCCCCCTTCTTTCCAGGCAACTGGTGGGGAAACTTTGCCTTGGAGTGCCATCTAGAGGAAAATTTCGTGCACATGCGCCGTGCTTTCTTGGCTTTGTGACTCAGGCTGAATGAATGAATCCAGGGGTTAATGTATGATTTTTTACTTTCATTTTTTGGCTCTAACTCAACACATGCAAATGGAATATGGGATAACTAGAATGTAAATAAAATCACTGATGAGAACAAAACAGTGAAAGACCCTAACAGTCTTCAGGAGTACCTGAAGCATTAGTGCCCACTCATGGAGAAAAGTAGGTTATCATTTTGCCTACTTTGCCTACTGAGGTAGTATTCCAGAAGTTAGAATTGATGAGGGAATTAAGTTCACTTTTTCTTCCCTGATCAAGTAATATTTGTAATTTCTATAATTATTTTCTTAGTGAAAAAATTCTGTTTGACCAGGCTGCCCATGGTCAAGTTGGAGAGGAGACTGCTTGTGTTAGGGACAAACAAAAGTTGACATTTTCAACCTACTGTAACCCTTAGTCAAGTTCAGCAACATTTAATGAGCAGAAAATAATATCTTTTCCAAATGTGGCTATTCTATTCAATGTGAGGGAGAAAAAAATAACATTCACCAATGTATTTTTCCCAAAGTCATGTTTTTATTTTGCAACCTCTGCCCACCCTACCCCCCAGCCCCACCCCCGACCAGGAGAACTTTAAGAGTGAATTCTTCTCTTTTTGAGCTAGTATTAATACGAAAACAAAACCCAGACTTTCTCAAACAGTGATACTCTTCAAGGTTGCTGAGCGGACTTGCAAAAACAACTATACTCTTGAAATATTTTGGTAGTACGAGTACCTCCATTGTGGTTGACATAGTTTGAGAGTTCTGCTGTCTTCAATTTCTCGAAAAGGATCAAGACTGTCCATATTGTGGAAACATTTACCGAAGAAAACTGGGTGTGGATTCCATTTTCTCCTAAGTGTCCACCTGACCCCGAAGCTCTTGCCAGCTTCCCCCATCCCAACTATTTTAAGGCTTGTCGTAAAATCTATTTCTGCTTTTGACATCTCCAATCCTTTGTTGAACAAGGTTCCCGCTTACTTATTTTGGGAATTCACCACAAATCCATATGTTTTCCAAAATAACAGGTTAATAATTTCTTTATTAAATGTCCTCTGTGAGCCATGTACATAAACTCTACACACAGAAAGTTATTCCTTGTCTACTGAGATCTGATATGGAAAAGCAAGACGAAAGGGTTTTTGTTTTTTTCATGAAATTTTGGCACTTCAGCAATTAAGGCTCACAGCTCAAAGCATCTTCCTTCCTCACTTGGCTGCTTTCATGGTGTATGTTACAGCGAGATGGGGCCAGTCCAGTTTTTCCAGGTTATTCTCCTTGCTCCTTAAGCAGTTGAGGACCCAAAAAACAAGTCCTTGAGTATAACAATGAAGACATTTTGGTCTCATCTTCTTACGCTACATGTGCATTTGAGTTCAAATCAATCCAACACAAATTTGTTGAAAACCTACCAAGTACATGATTGAGTATAGGGTGCTGGTGATGCTCTCAACAGATAGATAAATTAAGATTATTGCAAGAACAACAAATTATCTCTTTAGCCTCAAGCTGCTTACTTTATAGGAGAATGAGAGATCTTTAACTTAAAATACACAGCAGAAAGAAAGATGTGTTGTACTAGACACAGTGCAGAGAAGTAAGTAATTACTGATGATTACTGAAATTATTGATGATTAATGGAAAGCAAAGACTTCACGGGAAAACTGGCATTAGATCAATTCCTTTTAAAGAATGAGTAAATGTTTAGTAGGTAGAGAAGGGGGCAGAACATTTCACGAGAAAGGAACGGAAGTCTTCCTTCACATGGACCAAAGGAAAACGTCATTTGGAGTTCCTTCTTTTGGGTTTAAATTTTAATCTGGGTGCAAAGATGTAAGGTATTTGGATTTATGTTATGAGAATCCAAAATAGGTCTTCTCTTTTTTTGTGTGTGTGGTAAATATGTTTACACACACACATATGGGCACATATATATGTATATATCACCAAGAGGCCAAAGAAACCAATATATTTAAGCCAGAAACCATTTTACTTGATGATAGCTTAACAGTGTAAGTGCAAATAAAACCAAAACAAGCCTTATTTTTTGCCAGCAAATGGAGATGAATATAGGATTTTGTTTCAGTTTTTGCCACAAACATTTCCTTTTAGATTAAATTCCAAGGCTTACGTCTGGCCAGCTGCCCTGGCTGTCTCCATTAAAACAGACTGGCCACCTTAACTGAGTTACGGCACCTGGAGCAAAGGTTTGAAGCCTAGTGTACCCCTAAACGCTGAGAGCATTCACTCCTACTCCTTCCTTCCCAGGGCCTCCCTGGACCTTCTCTCAGATAAGCATCTCTCAGGATTCCCATGTCCCTGGGGGTAATGTTCACACACCACTTCTTTGGCTTTCTACCAGCCTAGAAAGTCTTATCCAGTGGATCTCTTTGTTTAGTCATTCATTCCCATATCCTCTGCAAAAAGACTGCTTTGAAAATCCAAGCATTTCTTTTGTTAAAAAAAACAGTTTCCCAAGATAAAACATTAAAAAGAGACTAAAGCAATCATTCCAAGACTACACCTGCTTCAAGGTGTCAGTGATCTTACAGCCTTAAAGCTCAGAGATCATTGTGAAATATATACTCCCATCACCAGGGTAGGTAACTTCCAAAATAAAATAAGTCACAGGGCAATTTGTCAGAGAAATGGGAACGTGAAGGGGAAGGCTGTAGGTCCCCACAAATGACAGATGACCTTCCATCATCACCGAACACACTTACAGTTAACATTGCGAACATCAGCTGGCACACATTGAAGGCATGTCTCCAGTTGTGGTATAGAACCATCCGATAATTTTTCCTTACTGTCAGAAGCCACCTACACAGTGTCTGAAATGGGAAAGGAAAGGTTATGTCAGGAAGTTGTATGTATCTCCGGTGGACCATTACCAAAATGATGTCTTCTGTCTGAGTAATCCTCAACCATCAAAGTCCTGCCACAAACATCTCACAGGATTCTCACGGTAATCCCACCAGGTGTGCAGGGAAAGTATTAACGTCCCCAATTTGTATTCGGGAAACCTGAGGCTCAGAGTGGCTACCATGTTGTTCCAGGTGCACTCCTGGGATCGCCCATGACAGAACATCATACCTCATAGTCGATTTTAAATTTCTGTACCATCCCCAGCTCCATGAACATCCGAAGAGCAGCCGTGATCATGGTGTCAACGTCGAGAGAAAAGTCATCAAAATGTATGTCGTTGATGGCAAGTTCTGACACCAAAGGGATGTTGGCTGCCTACAAAAGCAGAAGACATAAGTCAAGCCAAGTTCACCAGCTTTCCCAAACCCTTCATCTTGCTCTGCTCTCCTACTTATCAGACGTGCCACATAAATCAGACCTGACCTGCACTTACACTCTGATAGAGCTAAAGTCTGAGCTGGAAATGTCTTTTGTTTCTGAACTGCTAATGCCCCAAGCAAATGAAGGGGGTAGGGGAGAGGGAAGCTAATCTGAAGAAAAAATATACACACTGGATCTAGTCTGCAGAATTTAGAATACAAAGCAGTCTAGTTTACTGAAACTGCAGTCATACAGTATATTCTGATGCATATTACAGAGCACTAAACACAAGAAACATCTGGGCAGCCAGCAGCTGTGAATTTTAATTGCCACTATTCAGGAGAAAGACATGGGAATACACCACTTTGCCTTGTTTCTTACATCCTTATATCCTGTAGCTGTGTACTTGCTCTTTGTTACACACATGTTCTGTATATTCAGAAAGATGGAAAGGATCAGACAGCACATTTCTAGTGCAAAATATGTTTCTTAATAGGATAGAGATGTTTGGAGCATATGTTTCATTGAAGGAATAAATTTGCAATATAGTTTAGTGTCATTCTATAAAAACATCACAACATAATTATAATACTGGTCGTACATATTCAGTGTTTTCAAAACACTCATGTTAAGCAGCTGTCAGTCAGTTGCCCTACACAAACTTAAAGGGCATAAAAAGTCTTGGGGAATAATTATTTTTGCTGGTTTCATTGGGCCACTCTTGATAAGGGAATCATTTCTATGTTTTCAGATTATCAGGGACCATTCTGTATTCATATTCCTAGTCTATTCACTGGGTGTAAACTACCCAAGGAGTAATTTATGCCCTGGAACCACTTTGGTCGAGCAATGAAATCCAACGCTGCCCACTCTAAGCATCCCAGAAACCACTGAATCAATCCTCCTTTCTCAGCCCCATGCTCCTCCATAGGAGCAAACACCTCTAGGCTAAAATCCAAACACTGGTTATTCACCACCACATAGAAGAACAATGAACAAATACATACATTATGGGACAATTTGCCTGCTATTCTGCTGATTGTTTATTTTTGTTAAAAATTAATCAGCTTATTTTTCAGTGAATCAATTTACTATATTAACATATTTGTAGAATCCAGCTCCTTGTAATGAAAAAGGTGAGGCTTGTGAAATTCAAACATGGTGGTGGTGGAAATAGTCTTTGTGTGTAGGTGTCCTTATTTGGAGTTCCTGGCCTCATGCTAAGCACTTTAACACCTTGCTTTTTGCTTTAAGAATAATTTAAAATCAGGGACTTCCCTGGTGGTCTAGGGGCTAAGACTCCACTCTCCCAATGCATGGGTCCCCGGTTCGATCCCTGGTCAGGGAACTAGATCCCATGTGCTGCAACTAAGACCCAGTGCAACCAAATAAATAAATATTTAAAAAATAATTTAAAATCTAAGTTATACATGCACATAGTTTTAAGAATAAGTTAGATCTGCAAGGTTACACACGTGTGCATGCACGTGCGCGCACACACACACACACACACACACACACACACACACACACACACACTAGTAGAACTCTTCCAGTACCAAAATGTTCCCTTACCTAGAGGCAACCACGTTCAAATCATCTATATACACTTTTTTGGGTATTTGGCAAAGTAAGGTGCTTGTGATTTAATTTTTAAATTATTTTCTGATTTAAGCACTATCTACTAACTTCCCCCTACTGAAGATGAAGATGAAGCTGTCTTAGACTGTATCTGTCAACCTCTGCTACCTCATACACTATCCCTTCTCACTCCCCAGTATAATAATATAATAACTTTGTTTAGAGAAATATTCAGGGTTTATACTATAATGACTCTGTAAAAGATATTCATAGCTAAGTCATGCAATTTAGTATGATGACTTTTTCTTTCCTCGACAACATTTTGTATTCTCAGAGTTAATACTGTCTTCCTTAATGTGCGCTTAGTTTTCTCCATCCTTATCAATAATTCAACCTCGAAACTCTCCACCAGTTATCTAAATCTCATCTGAAAATATCCAGATACTTTGGGTATTCCATCAGTTTTATGAAGAAATCTCTGTTGGAACTTTCTGAATTGCAATCTGGACTGGCAGTCTTCTCAGCCGGGTATATAGCTTTCATCCTAGATGTTTCTTCACCATAATTTTGGGGGTGTCTTCATCTCTCTTTTATTTCTGTATCCCACATCTTTCTCTTTTCTGTCTCTCTCCTTATTTTGGTGAGACATGTCTTCCAATAGCTTCTGAAGAAAAGGTGTGTGTGCTGGGTAAATTTATGAGAGCTTGCATGTCTGAAATGTCTTCATATTATTGTCACATTTGATTGATAGTTTGTCTAGATATCAATTTCTAGGTTGGAAATCATGCCATTAGAATTTTTAAGGCATTCTCTATTAGCTTTAGATGTTACTTTTGACAAGTCAGAAGCTGTTGTGAATCCATTACCTTTGAAAATGACTCCTCCTCCCTCTCTGTTTTTGTAGGATCTTCTTTTTGCTTCCAGAGTTCTGAAATATCATGAAAATGTGCCTAGGTGTGAGTTTATTTATTTATTTTTTTTGCGTTATGCGGGCCTCTCACTGTTGTGGCCTCTCCCATTGCGGAGCACAGGCTCCGGACGCGCAGGCTCAGCAGCCATGGCTCACGAGCCTAGTCGCTCCGCGGCATGTGGGATCTTCCTGGACCGGGGCACGAACCCGTGTCCCCTGCATCGGCAGGCGGACTCTCAACCACTGCGCCACCAGGGAAGCCCGTGAGTTTATTTTTAATCATAATCCTAGGTACCTGGTGTGCCCTTTAATCTGGAAAATCATGTCCTTTAATTCTAGGAAAAATTGAAAAATGAACTCTGATCATTTCTTCCTTTCTTTCCTTTTCTGGAATTCCCTTTATTTGACCTTTGGACTGGTTTTTTCTTTTCTCTGTTTCCTCCTATATTTCATTTCTTTTCTTTTTTCTCTACTTTCTAGGAAATAGTCCCTCTCCTTATTCTTGATATTTTAATATCACAGTTTTCATTTCTAAGAGCTCTTCTTTTTTGTCTGGGTTTTTACAAAATTTTTAATAGCACCTTAATTTTGTTTCATGGATTCAATGTCTTCTCTTACCATTGTGAGGATGTTAATAATTCTATTTAACGTTTTCTTCTCCCTTCAGAGTTTACTTCACTCCCTTCATTTTGTTTTAGTCTCTTTTTCATTGTGGTTAGAAAATACATAGCATAAATGTAGCCTCTTAATTTTTAAGTATTGTTAACTATATTTACATTGTTGCACAACAGATGTCTAGAACATTTTCACCTTGTGTGAATGAAACCCTGTACCCAATGAACAACAATTTCCCATTTCCCCCTCCCTCCTGGCAACCACCATTCTCATTTCTGTCTCTACAAATTTGACTTCTTCAAATACCTCATATAAGTGGAATCATGCAGTACTTGTCCTTTTGTGATTGGCCTATTTCACTTAGCATAATGTCTTCAGGGTTCATCCATGTTGTACCATATGACAGTATTTCCTTCTTTTTTAAGGCTGAATATTGTTCCATTATATGTATTCACCACAATGGTAAATACATTCTTAATCCACTCGTTGATGGTTTAGCCTCTTTCTCAATCAGCTTATCCTTCCTTAATCATTTTAATATATTTGACTGCTTTAGAGGTATTAGAAATTTTCCCTAGCTGTGTGGTGATCTTTGGTTTTCAGCCCCCATTTAAAAATGGGGCTCTGAAAGCTTCTATTAGAGCTTCTGGGGGCTTCTCTGAAGAGGGATCTGACTGACCTGAATCTGGATCTGACTTTCCTTGGGGAAGCTACCGAATATCTGTATCTTTGGGCCTTTGCTCTTTAGCTACTCAGATTCCCTGGAGAAGAATCTTCTGAGTGTTACAGGGATGGAGATTGGAGGAGCTCAGCATTGGTATATCATTTCATTCAATCCCCTTGTTTCCAGCCTGTATTCCTATCCTCAAGCTCTGCACTGCTGTCCCCCTATCCCAAAGAGCTGCTATTGTACCCGCTTCAGAGGATAAGCCTCCAGTCTTTATGGAGTGGACGTGTGGGACGAAGGATCTGGAGATCTAACTGCTTCTTAGATTCTCCATTTTCTTGTTTACAGCCCTAGCTTCATCCCTATTCCCAAAGGTACTTAATTAGCCAATTCCTGAGCTATTTGGGGAAGAGGGGTCTGTGGCATAAATCTGTTTACCTCTCAGCTTTTCCCACTTAGCTTATTTTGGCTTTCTTGGGTTTGCTGAATTAATATTCATCCGTTTTCTAGCTTTCAAAATTTTGTCATGGTTAAATCCCTTCCCAATTTCTTTATCTTTGAGAATTTCTGCCTTTAAAAAAGTCCCTTTATTGTTGTTTTAGGGGGGCTTAAGGAAGGAGTAAAAGAAAATGAGTGTGTTTACTCTACCATCTTTATCTAGAAATCACTGAAATTATCTTTATTAAATGGTGCCTTAAATGATCAGCTTGGAGAACTCAGAGGTAATCCAGCCTTTGGATTTAGCCCCTTTGTTTCTGTGTGCATGGCCTGGCTGCAACCATGTAGACCTCTTTCTCTTGTTCTCTTTCACATGTTTCACATGTGTCCCCATGTGTTCACTTGAGTCATCCTGACCTCGCTTATTAGGCTGTAAAAATCTCAGAGGCAGGGCTTCCCTGGTGGCGCAGTGGTTGAGAGTCCACCTGCCGATGCAGGGGACACGGGTTCGTGCCCCGGTCCGGGAAGATCCCAAATGCCGCGGAGCAGCTGGGCCCATGAGCCATGGCTGCTGAGCCTGCGTGTCCGGAGCCTGTGCTCTGCAATGGGAGAGGCAACAACAGTGAGAGGCCCGCGTACCGCAAAAAAAAAAAAAAAAAAAAAAAAAAATCTCAGAGGCAGATGGCATGCTTCTTTCCCTTAGGGAAGCTCCAGAATGACTCTCTACTTCCATCACATGTTTCA